ACTTAGAGCCAGCAGTTGCATTGATGGAAACTTTTCCTTCAGCAAATGCATAGCAAGGTTGCAACCTCTGAAGACAACTCAATTTGTTGACAAAGCATACCATGTGGGTATAAATTACTCACTTTGACACCATGTTCATACCCATTGCATCTCCCGTGAAAGCGATGAATCGGACGAACGCTAGATTCCCGTCTATGGCTACCTCGACCGCACGTAGTTGTGCAAACCTATACAAATGCATTTGACAACAACTACCGAAGGCATTGCCTACACTGAGCATGGGATGAATTGTTCGCCGCTACACACTTTGTTTTCGCTGCCCGAAAAAGAAAAGAACTTTTGCGAAGCAGGCGCACACACCAGTGGATAGCAGCAACTCCCACTCCAACGCCCAGCAAAATCCAAGCTTGCAATTTTACAAAAAAAAACTTACCGACTTGTGGACTCGAACTCAGTCTTGACAAGAAGGAAGTTCTCAGGAACTCCAAGCCATTTTTTCAACTTTCTTAAAATAATTGAATTTAGTGGTATGTTTAGACCATAGAAAAAACCTCTAAGCCGTTACTCACACAGCCTCTCTGAAGCGGTAGGAAACTTGACAACAGGAGCACGTGTCATTCCTTCGTCGAAAATGCAGGTAGAAACACCGCCACTTTTCTAAACTAGATGACCTTAGCTTCTAATGTTGAGTGGACTTCCTAATGCTTCTTTGAAAATAAAATCCCTTAAGAAAACCTGCTCATCGACATAAGATTCGCCCAAGAACGAAGTTTTAGAGCACTAGCAGCCGACATCTAAACAAAATGAACAAAGTACAGAAATTCATACCTTTACGGCACTACAACCTCTATTTGTACTGGCGACCAATGCACCTTCTGTGGTGGCCATAGGGACGTAAACTTCAGCACCATTTATTGGTATAGGACCAGCAACGCCCAGAGGTATAGGGACGTAACCAATAACATTTTCACAGCAAGAGTTGGTCACCTAAACAACAACAGTGCCTTCTTTATGGTAGCAACCGAAGACAGTGCGTTGAGAGCTTACATATTTGTAATCGTAGTTCTTGAATGGTAACTCCTTCAAGACTTCAGGAGCTACGTAGGAACGCCTCACAAATATTGCAGTTTCAGCATCGAGGCGCGTCTCCAGTTCGCGGCATTTTACAATACCCCGTTTGACAAGTCGGAGAGCATCGGATGCAGAAAGAGTCCTTCCTGAAAAAAAAATCAATGAAAGCGCTTGCAAAATATCACAAGTGGAAAAAGTTACAGAGTTACAGTTACAGAAAGTTCTAAACTGCTGAAAAATCGCACCTTCGTTCCAATCACGAGAAATCTCATCGAGTGATTTTGGTGGCGATTCAGTTTTTTGCTGCACATCCTCGTCAGCAAATGTTTGTGTACAAGCATCATTAGTTAGTGGTACTTCGCTGTCTAAACAAAACCTCTACTTATGTTGGTAAATACATATTCGGAGCAACGAAGCTGAAAGAGATGAATCATTGGGCAATCCGAAATCAGGTTTAGTTACCGCTCAATAAGCTTACAAAAGGGTCAGTAGTTATTTGTGCTGAAAGCCTTTTGGTGGTGATGAGTGAAGGGCAATATAGATTTATCCGACTAAAGTAAGACAAGACTTGAAAGGACTCAAAGATGAGGTTTCAACTGCATCAGTCCACGTTGTTGTAAACAGGCATCTATTCAAAAAAAAAACACTGCTTTCTCTCCAGCAAGAAAAGGCACTAGGGAAAACCCTCAAGAAAGACATAAAGCAAAACCAACCGGACAGCTCATAGTCCTCGTCACCAATCGAAAAGCGGGGAACACTTTTTCGAGACTTCGATGAACTGATTCTTTCCAGAATCCATCTAAACAGAAAAAGCTAAGAAACAGCAATTCAGGAAAGATTTATAGTCGCAGAGGCCTGACTATTGACCGACTATTGCACTAATGGTTGCGAAACGTTTTAAAAAAGTGATTTTGAAGAGCAAAAAAGTTAGCCACCGGGTGAAGCCACATATGCGGAATCGCAAAAGTCAAACGCCATTCAATTTCGAGTTCTTCGAGGGACAGTGGAGGCTTACCGCTCAGCTTCATCCCTCCAAGAATCTTTCGTCACATCGAGTGAATTGAGAAATTGACGAATGTCACTCTCTTCTCCTCTACCCATTGTGTCCACAGTTGCTAGATCGAGATCAACAAGTAGCAAGCATACCGGGCTGTAATGGAAGTGTTACAAATAGAGTGAGTCACGTCGCATGTCGAAACAGACGTTAGTCAGCCGCAAAACATAGCTGCAATGAAAAAGAATGCGCATCTCTAGAAGATACGACTAAAGCAGACCGACAGAATAATAAATGACACCTAGCCATTAGCACGAGTGAACCTCGCGCACAATGGGCTTCCATGAAAAAGCTCATGGGGTATTCGATATCGATCAATTAAAGACGTCAAATTTGTGCGCCGTACGTAATTACACCAGTCACAACGAGACTGACACGGCATACCCTAGGAAGATTTTCGCAAGGTGAAGGAGGGTGATCATTCGAATCTCATGAATCACTTTGAAAGACTAACATTTCCAAAGGGGAAGGTCGAACGTTGGCTAATTAGTCCTTCACCATTTGCTTGTGGAATATTGGCAGTACCAGCAAGGGAGGAGGGACATTTGGCGACTGCCTAACCACTTGCTAACAATCTCGAAAGGGTCTATTTCAGTTAGGGGTATCATGATGGCAGCCTCTTGTGCGAACTAGTTCAGCTTTCATGGATGATTCAATGACGGCACCTCACCCCACCTAGACAGTCAATGAATGACGGGGATCGAGGCAAATACTCGAACATGGGGGTTTCATCTAGTGTGTGGGTCCTGGTCGTACTGAGGTGACCACGTCCTCGACACGATTTTCACCCCTGACAAATAGACTAGCCTGCTCGGGGTGGCCTTAGCTTTCTTGGAATAACTGCCATCATGCCCCCCTCCTTAAACTAAATAAGACCCCTCGAAACCTCAAAAACATTTCCGTGAAACTGCCTAGGTGGTATCACATTGCTCCTAATAATGAAGTGACAGAGCAGCGAGTCAGATGGGCTCTCCGACAAATTCGCTTTAAATTCAGTAAATTCTTATTCTTGACACCTTAGGTCACAATAATTATGACGCTCACTTTCTCACCAGAGGTTAGATAATATATCAGCACATTATGGTTTTAGTAGCGCCAATTCCACTGCCAACATGGTGTGACCCGCTGCAAAATTGGCGATGCACGTATGGCTCTGGCTCAGGAAGGATTGAAGGCTATGGCCGATGTCAGACTTTGCGAATCGCGCGATTCGCTAGCGTCTGCGGTCGCGTCGCGGCCAGTGAATCACTCAATTTGGCTGGTACCGCAACGCGACCGCGGACGCTAGCGAATCGCTAGTAGCGAATCGCGCGATTCGCAAAGTCTGACATCGGCCTATTGGTTTATCGAAGGCACCGCAAGTAACCCTACAGTCGGGCACGCACCTATTGCCACTATTACAAATCCAGTTAGGGGGTGAGATGAGTCAAATTTGCTTTTCGCTGCAAACTCTTCCTCATGGAGGTAATGAGGGTCTATGAAATTCATTTTTGGCGCTGGTGCCAAATCGGCGCCATTTATCACCAGGTGCCAGCCTCATTGAATCTCACCAAATTCGCTGTAAATATTACATTCAGTTTGTTTTTCGTTAGCGCTGTTTTTGGGCATATTTCTGCTCTCATGAACTTCCTCACTCGAAGCGCCTACGGCCAATTGTAAGCCAAGGGAAAGAGAGTGATTGCCGCAGCAGTGGAAGAGTTGAGGCAGCATAGTGTGGAAAGGTTGAAGTGTTGAGATCACAGAGAGAGTGACGCTACTCGCCTCTGGAAGCGCCTCCATGACTCAAAGACTTAGTCACTGAATGTGGGTCTTGTGACATCTAATCCTTTTTGCTCTCTGCATCTCCCTTCACAAGGCCAGACACCAGACGCTAAGGCCCAAACTTTTGCCACAGGTCAAGTGGCTCACACACCCCCAACCCCCTGAATTGCCCCATGCCCCCTGGCTCACGCATTCTTCTTTACTACCAGGTTCCCGCACAGCACGAAGGGAACACGTTAGCTAACGCCCACCTTTTACACTTTATATTTTTACATGTTCAGTAAACTTATATTTTCATTCAATTTAGTCAATATACAATTCATTTCATTGCATGCTCCTCTGCATGATAAGTACGTCACATCAAGGTTTATTCGTCTTTCCCCTGTGTCTTTATTTCGCCAATCCCAACTCACTGATGAGCTCCGGGGATTGACGAAATAATAAGGTTCGTCTGAGGAAGGAGCGAAACGAACCGTATCTATTATTTTGTTTATAATGGTTTTTCTTTCTTAATTAGGAATTGTCATACGGACCTCCTGATTGCCAATCCAAATGGTGTTAGGGCGCAGACGAGCCGGAAATAAGCGCCAATCAGCGCCAGCGAACCAAAACGAATTGTCAAATTCGTGATCAGGGTTCCAAATAACCTCTACATACAAGTTTATGGCGAGTTGGTTGAGATTCAATCATGGCGCCATATGCGCCAAAAATGGATCTCATATTCATGAGTAGGATACTCAACAACCCCATAGGAGAAGTTTCAGCGAAATTTTTTGACCCACTCTGGAACTCTGCTGGGTTGTAGATAAGTTTGCAGTTAGTGCCAGGTCGAGTTCAAAAAAAAAACACGATAATTTATCCATAGAATCTCTTGTGAGATGTAAAAATGTAAGACTCAGCCTGGCCCAAAAAATCTTGTGTCAAGATTTTTAAACCCGATTATGCTCGGTCACCCTGCTGACAGATGGCCAATCATGCAATTAGTTTATTATTTTCATAATTCATGGTTCTTTAGAATGCATATTTTTATTTTATTATTCATTTTGTAACAGTAGTATTTTCATAGTAATGCATGACTTCATGATTTAATCCATAAGTTCAAATAGATGAAAGAATCTTCCCCAGAGAGCGAATCTGTACAAGCAATCTGTTACCCTGCGCTTCATCTTTTCTGCGAAACGAAATGATCGTTTCTTAGCCATGTGGGATATTACGACAGCTCCTGATTGAAGAAAGTTAATGATGAGCTTGCACAGCTACGTTACGACTATTTACGATTTCGGCCAGATTTTCGTGAATTGCTAGCCGTAAAATCATAAATCTCCCCTCAAAATTTTCAGTGTGATCATTAAGTTACCCAAAATTTACTAGTTAGAGATCCATCCCTCATGGTGCCGCCAGGATCGAAGTTATTACGCAACCTAATAGTAGCATTTGACAGAATTCTAGCCTGTACGTGGAATTGTGGGGACAACTGGAGTGCAGGCCGCGTCTTTTTTGTACTCCCATTACGTCTGGGATTAAATTAGACGGTGCTGTTATCTGTGCCGGCTTTTGATTGATAAGGATTTCTAGATGTGCCCAGGTTACACGGTGCCGCTTGTGGTCACTACTCCAAAGCGGCCCTTCTTTATTGAACGAATTACGGTATAAATGGCCGCAAAGAGACACCTCGGAGATCACACCTGCTCAAAATACCCAAGCAATCCGTCTTTCTAAAGTCACTTATCCGACAGAATTGTTGTCAAGGGCTGCAACAGGCACCACTGTAAAGATCGACTATCATTTTCGCGAAGCGCGAGCATGCGGTTGTTATGGTTTCCATGGTTCTCGATGCGAAGTCGAAGTGCGTGGCAGTATCGTTAACGCTCTCACCAAATGTTGTCCTCTGTTCTCCATTACAGAGAGCTGTGAAAACGATTAGCAGGCAACGTGGGCCTCAATAAGTTTTTTATTTTAATTGATATACTTACTTTATCAAGCTTTGTTTTTCTGTTTGTTATATAATTACTTCATTTATTTACTCTGCATCCGGAGGGCGGGGTAGCACTAACTTCCAGGGATTGACAAGGTACTACCATGACTTGCGACAATATGGGCTGGAAAGTAGAGATAAGATTTAACAATATCGCTGATTGAAAAAAGCCGTGACAAAAGCAGGAAACAACCAAAAAAATATAGAACAAACACATTTTCAACGTAAACATAGGAGGCGTTTTAATTCAGCGTTTTGAAAGATCTAAATCTATTTTTGGAATCCGCGGCTTCTAATTGCTTCGATGGAAGTTATCCAAATCCATCATTCCAAAAGCAATAGGCTTATCAAAGCTTTCTAAACCCCTTCGATAGTAGCTCTGAAAACTCATTTGTAGCATACGTAGAACTCGTTTTATTGTTCTGCCCTCAAGTACAGCTGTCACTGATGTTTGTCTGCCCCTTAAGTTTCCCAGTCGGAATTATTTCCTTGAAAAGCTGGAAAAAAGCTGACTGTAGACGGCGAAGTTCGTTTTATGCTGTTAGAAAGTGCTTTAATGGCAAATTTCTCTAGAATTACTTTCTCAGAAACTAACAGGAACGCGGATTAGCAAATTCAACAAAAGTGCGCATGTGTTTGTGGAATGAAAACCTCTTACCGTGATAATTCATGGAAAAGTTCCCATTCGTTGTGTGAACGTGGCGCTTTTGTAGTGCAGCTACGTCTTTGTTTACTATGAGCTGGGAAGTCCGTGAGCGCCTAGTAATACTATGTGACCTTAGTTTGCCTGTTTCCTTTGTTTTCCTGTCTTTTTTGCTGTATGTACAAAATTCGGTATTACCTGAAGAACAAACTTAGGAAGGCCGCCGGGCCAAGTTTTGGGGGCTGGATAGTCGCAGTGGCACAGCATGCATCAATCTAAGCAAAGCCTTTGCCTCAGTGGACATGGCGCACAAGAATTGTAGGTAATTAAAGAAGGCAAATTCTGGTTGTGCCAAACACATATTAACAACCTACTAGAACCCGAAAAAAGTGGGGTTAGGAAGTTGGGTCGAATTGTGAGTTCGATCCCAGGATACTAGTAGGCGAAGCGTTCTTCTCTATGGTTAAGCTAAATAAAAAATATCTCCGTTGTTTAGAACGGCATTCATTAAAAAACAATAGTTTGGCAATGTCTTCATCTTGTTGGCCGTTATTCAGACAACGTTCTGCGACCAAAGCAGTGCTTGTTCGTTATTTTTTTTTGCTGATAAAAGGTGTCGTAGGATTCCTCGACCACCGTCACAATAAGACGAGATCGATGTTCAGTGGTCGCGAGCATGCTTCCTCATAAGGGCGCTGTCTGCTATGAAGCCATTTGATTTTTCGGTTGCAAGACTGCGTTGGAGGACCTGAGAAAGGGATTGTGATCATGAAGGAAAAAAAGGCAGCCGTTCAACATACACGGATGTCGGAAAAAATTTGGATTCGAGATCGACTGAGAGGGCCATTTCATGCACCCTGTAACGCGTAT